AAACACCTGTGGAAAAGAACCAATGGCCATATGTCATGCAGGTTACTCGTGCATGCAATTCCAAGTTGTATCCTTCACGTTCAGCCTACATTCTCCTCTCATCACCTCTTCCCCTCCGGCCCATCCCCACCCCCCACCATTGCGCAGCTGATACGTGATCAAGGGCTGCATAGGGACAAACTTGTGAGCCAAGGCAGCTCTAAGCTGGTAGGGAACTGATTGCAACATAAAGCGAGTTTGGTTCCTCTCAGCATTAAACACAAGTGCCTCTTCACACACGGCTTTCCTGGTGGCTCGGTGGTTAAAAAAAAAATCCGCCTGCCAAAGCAGGAGGAGCGTGTTCGATCTCTGGTCTGGGAAGATCCCTTGGAGAAGGAAATGGCAACCCACTCCAGTACTCCTTCCTGGGAAATCCCATGAACAGAGGCGCCTGGCAGGCTACAGTCCATGGTGTCATAGTTCAAGACTTAGGAAATAAACAATAACAATAACCTCCTCTCACACACTGTGCTAGGGAATTCTGTTCCCTAGCAGAACAGAATCAAGGGTAGCCTTTAGATCTCTAAGTAAAAATGAGGTGTCTCTCTGGGTCTTTGGTTTCTATGTGGTTCAACTAAAACCTGCTCAGAAATGAGAGGCGGTTGTGACTGACACGCTTTCCCTTTCTCCCGTGTCTCTGGGCTTCTCCAGGGGTTCTTTCCTTCGTTGTAGGAGGTGGGACAGGTTGAGCTGGCTGTCTCCAGCTTCTTGAAAGAATTCCCAGATCAGAGTGAATGTCCCTGCCAGCTGGTTGGAACAGGACGAGTTTCTAGGGAGGCCTTCATGTTGGGTCTAGTTCCCACCACTAATTAAAATTTGTAGGTAATGGGTTACTAATTTGTTGGTTCCTTTTATCATGTTATTGCCTTCTCAGGACTCAGGGTGTGTGTGTGTGTGTGTGTGTGTGTGTGAGTGTATGTTAGTCGCTCAGTCGTGTCTGACTCTTTGCAGCCCCATGGACTATAGCCCGACAGGCTTCTCTGTCCATGAGATTCTCTAGACAAGTATACTGCAGTGGATTGCGGATTCCTCCTCCAGGGGATCTTCCTGACCCAGGGATCAAACCAGGGTCTCCTGCATTGCAGGCAGATTTTTACCGTCTAAGCCACCAGGGTTGTTATATAGCTATTATATAGCTCTGGTCTAACTGGGGAGTAGGAGTCTAGTGATGCTCTTCAGAATCACCTGTCTTGGTTCTCTTTCTCTGATCCAGTGTCCTGGATGGCAGAGGTCAAAAGGGCCTTTCATCTTGGGTCCCTAGACAGTGGAAATCTGAGCTGAGCTGAACGAGCTATCCTTAAATTTAAGTGGAAGATAGTCATGGTCTGCTGAGCAACACTTCCCTTTCCATAGGGAAATTCATAATTCAGTACCATCGACCCTCTTGCTTGTCCGCTTTGCGGGAAGTGGGACCAAAGTGGGAGAAAAATGCCACCTTTTATTTTAAGGACACGCTAGGTAAAGAACTCACCTGCAGTGCAGGAAATATGGGTTCTATCCCTGGGTCAGGAAGATCCCTTGGGGGAGGAAATGGCAACCCACGCCAGTATTCTGGCCTGGGCAATCCCATGGATGGAGGAGCCCGGCAGGCTACAGTCCGTGGAGTCTCAGAGTCAAGAGTCGGACATGACTTAGCGACTAGAACAACAAGGTGTAAGTATAATTATGGCTGATTCGTGTTGTATGGCAGAAACCAACACAACACTGTGAAAATTAAAAAACAAAACAAAAAGAACAGGCTAGGGACTTCCCTGGTGGTCCAGTGGTTACGACTCTGGCTTCCAATGCAGGGGGGATGGGTTCCATTCCTGGTCAGGAAGCTAAGATCCCACGTGGCTCCTGGGCCACAAAACCAAGACAGGAAACAGAAAGAGTATTGTAACAAATTCAGTAAAGACTTAAAACAAATTGCTGGGGTGGAAAGTCTGAGCCCTGGGATTGGTGTCAGAAGATTTGGGTTTGCATATGGTCGCTGCCATGTTAATCTGGGGAGGTCGTGTGAATTTTTCCGATTTCTTTATCTGTAAAGTCAGAATCCTAATACCCACTGTTGTCTGCTTCGGAAGGGCTGTTGGAGGAAGCAAAATTAAAATGAGGTATAGCTTGTGAATGGGCGAGAGAATGACGAAGAGAGAAACACCTCAGGATGTGAAATTGCCTGAGGGATGAGAGACGTCATAACTCAGAAATGGAATCCAAATAAAAGATTCACCACCCTACATGCTCCCTAATGTTAATAAATCCTCTCTTCTGAAGCAACCCTTTGAGAACTTTAGCTAGAAATGTGAAGAACTGAATCCCCAAAATAATAGATTTGCTTTTTTTTTTTTTAAACAACTGTCTATTTTATATTGGAGTATAACTGATGAACAACGTTGTGATAGGTTCAGGTGGGCAGCAGAAGGACTCAGCCGTACACACACATGCATCCATTCTCCCCCAGACTCCTCTCCCATCCAGGCTGCCGTATAACTCGGAGCAGAGTTCCCTGCGCTATACAATAGGTCCTTGTCCGTTACCCACTTCAAATACAGCAGTGTGTTCATGTTCATCCCAAACGCCCTAAATATCCCTTCCCCCCACGCTTCCCCAGCCCTGACAAGCAGGAGTTTATACTCTGAGCCTCTGAGTCTGTCTCTGTTTCATAAATAAGTTCATTTGTATCACTTTCTTTTATATTTCGGATATAAGGGATGTCATACCCCATTTCTCCTTCTCTGTCTGAGTTTCTTCACTCAGCATGACAATCTCATTATTTTGTTCTTTTTAATGGCTGAGTTAAGAACTGACTCATTTGAAAAGACCCTGATGCTGGGAAATATTGAAGGCGGGAGGAGAAGGAGACGACAGAGGATGAGATGGTTGGATGGTATCACCGACTTGACATAAGTTTGGGTAAACTCCAGGAGTTGGCGATGGACAGGGAGGCCTGGCGTGTTGCAGTCCATGGGGTCGCAAAGAGTCAGACACGACTGAGCGACTGAACTGAACTGAATGGCTGAGCAGTATTCCCCTGTATACACGTACCACGTCTTCTTTATTTAACACTTCTGCACCTACGTGTCCTCCAAAGACAGCTCTGTCCTATTTATGGACAATCTCTTAGGAGCTTTTGGGTGACTTCATAACAACTTGGATGCTTTTAGAGTGTGACAGTCTCACTCTTTCAATTCTTCACTTTAGGGGCTTTGAATGCCAGTGTCACAGCAGAAGTGGCTTCAGTTGGCAAGTCTTCCAGAAGTCTGTGGCCCCGGTACTGTTTGCAGTGGAAATCCAGGCAGATTTCGACAGGCTGATGATGAGCAGGCAGGTCGGGCACCAGCCACAGGGAAGGCGCTCAGGCCAGCTGCCAAGTTTCAGCCAGGAAGGAACATCTCTCGTGGAGTTTACAACCCTGTCGAGGAGGCAGTCAGTAGCAAACCCCAGCACCACACCCTGGATACCACCACGTTAGCTGTGAACACCGCGGTGTTAATCCATAGCGGCAAATCCCACAGTTACTTCATCTTGCTCACCTTTCTTTCAGGCGGCAGCACGGAGACACTGGCAGGGAACCGAAGGGGGTGCCTTCTTCACAAAGTTTTGGAGGTCTTGCTGAGAGCGACGCTCCAGACATCTGATGGGTGTCTCATCCAGGGCAAAGGGACCCTTAATTCTGCTGTCCTCGCTTTTGCACCAAATGGGCGCACATTAGGGTATATGATTGTGACTTCTCTGGAAAGTTCAAGTTGGAACCTGCTGGGTCTTGAGCACTCTGGCAAGTGCTTATTTTCTATAAACAAGTCTCCAATCGTCTCTGAACCTCCCTGCTTCATTTCAGGGCTTCCGGAATGACCGGGTAGCTCTCACCTGGTGTTGACATGGCCCACAGCTAAGAAGGTCTGACTCAAAGAGTACTTTCTAGCTTTCTGCCAAAACTTGGTCTTTTCCCATAGAGACAGATCCCCACTGGATGCTTGAACGGGACATGATGTATGATAGTCTTTTTGCATTTTTTTAACCACCCCCTCCAAACCCCACGAGTATTGAAGACTTCTTCATGCCAGATACGGGGGAGACATAAATAGAAAAGGGCCCCAGCCTTCAGCAGCTCACAGCCAAGTAAAGCAGAGAGACAGAGGTAGACAGGCCACAAGTTCAACCACGATGGTAAATTAGACATGCAGTGATGGTAGAGGCGCAGGGTGCTATGGTAATCCACGGGGAAAGCCGTCTCTGGGGGGAGGTAAAAGATGAAATGAAAATTAAGTTTTGAAGGCTGAATAGGAGTTTCCCAGGGAGAGAAGTCTTGTCGTCTCGCAGAGAGAGAAGCTCCGATTGCAAAGACCTCAAGGTGGTGGAGAACAAACATGCTCTCTGGAGGGAGAATGAGTCCACGCCAGTTGCTCGTGCTGGGTGGTGCTCTTCTCGTGAGCTTGCCCGGCTCTCTGATTCCTGCTTCCCTTCAGGACGACGGTCCCCAGACAGACTCTTTGGCAGCAGGGACTGGTTTTACAGACGACAACTCTTCCGCAGACTGGAGGTGGGTGGGGGATGGTTTCGGGATGATTCAAGCACACCACATGTATCGTGCCCTTTTATTTCTGTTACTATGACGTCAGCTCCACATTAGATGATCAGTTAGATCTCGGAGGAGGGGAACCGCTGCTGTGGAACATATCCTGGGCTTGCTCTATATACATTCTTTTGCACAGGCTGGTGCGTTTATGCCAGCGCACTATGCATGCCGAAACATTCTTGTATCACACTGCAACCACGCTGATTTTCTTTTATGCTTTGCTTTCTCCTTTCCCTCACCTCCAAATGTGGGGCCCACTCATCCCATATCTATTGCCCTTAAGCGTAATGAGTTCAAATCTCTTTCAAAACATACCCCAAACTCCCCTTTGTGAACTGACGTCTGGAGGCGGGGTGACAGGAGGGGAGGAAACGAGGCCCTGCTGCTTTTCCTCTGGCCCCAGATCACCCCTCCCTCCCTCCTTTATGAGACGTTTGGGCGGCTCATCTGCTGCGTGTTTCTCTGGCTTCGTGGGTCCCCAGTGACAACTGCAGCCTCACGCCTCGCCTCCACGCCCCCCGGGCAATGTGAGTGTTGTCAGTGAGGCCAACATGACAAGCACAAGGGTGGGGAGAATTCCTGATACAAGCCTTTGGGACTCCAAAGTCCCATGAAGTGTTTCTGATTCATTCACTCGCTCATACATTCCTTTGCTCACCTGTTGGGAACCAAGGAACCTGCTGGGCACCAGGGTCACCTCACTGGACCAAGCAAACGGCACCTGCCTCCGTGAACCTTACCCTCATAAGACCCTCATTTGGAGCACTGCTCAGGCTCAGATTTGGGAATCTGGGCTCCCTAGAACCCAGCCACCTTCCAAGAATGGCTCTACCTGTAGCAAAACCACGTTTCGCTTTGGGGAGGTGGGGTCAAGATGCCCCACTGACCACAGCTTCCAGCAAGGAGTCTGAACTGGCTCAGAGATGCTGCGGAGCAGGGCTGCTGTGGAGAAGACGCCCGGGGTGAGGGAGGGGGTGATCCAGGCTGGATTCATGGCTTTATTTATTTATGATTGTTTTTCACTGGAGTATAGTCGCTTTACAATGTTGTATTCCTTTCTGCTGAACGACAACATGCACCAGCTGTAAGAACAGACATCGCCCCTCCCTCCGGAGCCTCCGCCCAATGCCTTAGCCCACCCCTCGAGGTCATCACAGAGCCCCGAGCTCCCAGAGCCTTATAGCAGCTTCCCACCAGCTGTCTATTTACGTATATTACTGTCTGTATGTCTATCCTAGGCTCTAAGTTTATCTCACCCTCCCCTTCCCCCACTGTGCCCATGTGTCTGTTTTCTGCATCCGCATCTGTGTTCCCGCCCTGCAAATAGGCTCATCTGTACCATTTTTATAGATTCCAAATATACGTGTTAATAAATGAGATTTGTTTTCTGTCTGACTGAACTTCTCTCTGTATGACAGTCTCCAGATTCACCCACACCACCACAAATGACTCAGCTTCATTCCTTTTCATGGCTGAGTACTATTCCATGACACACATGGACCACATCTTCTTGATCATTCATCAGTCACTGGACACTCAGGTGTGGTCTCAAATCTTGGCTATGAATTCTCGGCTGTAGACCGAATCTTTCATTTAGGCCAGAGATCTAGAGCTCCAAGAAGCATCCGATTCCTCAATGGAGATGACACATGTCTCGTGTCTAAACTCAGACCCCTTCGCCTACTGTTCTTGAAGCTGCAGATGTCTCAGCCCAGAGAGTGGATTTCAGAAAGGGACGCATGAAATGCACAGACCACTCTCTAGCAGGCTGGTCGCCCCAGGCATGGGATGGGGGCTCTGTGGGGTGGGCATCGGCCTCCAGCTTCTGCCCCAAGCTTCCCTGGGCCCCCTCTCCGCTCCTCTCGGGAGGGCATTTCTGTCTGCTTTGCTCACCGCCACACCTCCAGAGCCTAGAACAGCACCTGTGACATCCAGCGCTCAATAAATGTCTGGAGGATGGGTGCCTGGATGTAAATTTTGACCCAGACACAACCACCCAGCTGCCGACACCTTGTGAAAGGGAAGGCGAGGTGCATGTTCCCCTTGGCTTAATAACAGTTTGCAGGGGCTGTTGTCTTTTATGCGCCGGTTGAGCTCATTGTGAAGGCCCTGTAAATATTAATTGATAGACGGGAAGCTCTAGGGTTTGGCTCCAGACGGATCCAAGTCCTATTTTTTTTGAGGAAGTTTATAAGGGCAGGAGAATGTGGGGCGTTACTCGGGGAGTCTGGAGGCTCTCAGGAACCCCCTTCCACCTTCTCCCAAACGCAAAGCCTGGGAGAAGTGGGTGGGAACAGAAAGGAAGCGCCTAATTACACTCACAGGTTATATAATTACACTGTCACATTCCCACTGGTGGTGCGTTTTAAAGGAGCTTTGAGTAACTTTGTTTTTGAAAGGTCTTGTTTTCCTCACCCTTTATTCTTTTTTTTTTTTTTGAGTTTTTATCTTGTGTTGGAATATAGCCGACTAACAGCCAGTGCTGTGATCGTTTAGCTGGGCAGTGGGTACACATACCTGTATCTGTTCTCCCCCGGGCTGCCCTCCCATCCAGGCTGCGACATAGCAGGGAGCAGGGGCCCCTGTGCCGGACGGTAAGTCCTTGCTGGTTATCCACGGTGAATAGGGCAGTGTGTACGGGTCCATCCCAAGCTCCCTAACTCTCCGTTCCCCCATCCTTCCCCTGATGACAACCATAAATACATTCATTCTCCAAGTCTGCCCTCACCCATCCTTCATCATCCTTGATCTTTGCCTGGTGCCTTCCAGGAAAGACCGGCTGACATGAGGTTACCCAGTTGAGTCCCTGAAGAGACTTGGTGTCTACACACAGTCAGACAGATACCTGGAGCGGCTGTCTGTCTTGCCCACATTTTAGCAACAGGACTCAAGTGCTCAGAACACAGAAGCTCCTCTGTCTCTTCAAATACCCGTCACGGGAGGACTTCACGATCCACTGAAATAGTGGTTCTCACAGTCCTGTGCCCAGGCCCGCAGCCTCAGCAACACCTGGGAACCTTCTAGAAATTCACGGGTCCCACCCCAGAACTCCCAGAAACTCCAGGGAGGAGCCCAGCGATCTGTGTTTTAACGAGCCCTCCAGGGCATTCTGATGCATGTCCACATTTGGAAATCCCTAGATTCTGGAATCTAACACAGTGGTTCCCGGACAAGAGTCTGTTGACAACATTTAGAGAAGCAGCTCTTCTGTCCATGGGATTCTCCAGGCGAGAATACTGGAGGGGGTTGCCATTCCCTTCTCCCGGGGATCTTCCCGACCCAGGGCTCGAAGCCGGATCTCCCGCATTGCAGGCAGATTCCTTGCCATCTGAACCACCGCGGTCCCTTTGGCAAGCGGTTGGGGGTGAGAGGGTGGGGGTTATCACATTCCACACTGCAGCAGAGACTTATTGCATCTGGGGAAAGATTCATTCTGCTGAGCGCTCAGCAGCGGGGCCCCCTCGGAAGGCAGTCCATCCACGTTAATAAATGTCTCACCTCCCAGACAACTTCAATAAGGTGAACTGCCAAGGGGAGGTCATGCTTGTCCGTTTCGTTTTGCTGAGACATGGAGGTCCCGTCTGACAAGGCTCTGGAATGTAGCTGTCGTCCTGAAGGGAAACCAGGCTGGCAGGGTCTTCCCAGAGACCTGTCCCCCGCCCCCCGCCCCTCCTCCCAGACATGCTTTCCCTCTGTTTCCCCTCTTGGAGGCGAGAGACGCTGGAGTCACATAGCCCAGTGTGTGTGTGTGTGTGTGTGTGTGTGTGTGTGTGTGTGTGTGTGTGTGTGTGTGATTATGTATATTTGTGTAGAGCTTTTCCATTTAGAAAAAAGTGGATGAAACTGTTTGCAAAGCAGAAACAGAGGCAAAGATGGAGAGAACAAATGTATGGACAGCAGGGCGGGACAGTGAGGTGGAAAGAACTGGGAGCTTGGACCTGGTGCATAAACACTATTGACACTACGTAGAAACTAGGTAGCTAAGGAGAGCCCACCGTTCCACACAGGGGACTCTGCTCAGTGCTCTTTGGTGAGCTGAGTGGGAATGGAACCTAAGAAAGAGGGTTGTATGTAAACGTATGCGTGTGGCTGATTCACTTCGCTTTACAGTAGAAACCGACACAGCTGTGTACAGCAGCTATCTTCCAATAAAAGTTAAAAAGAAAAAAAAAACTTCCCAAGCAGTCGTCTCTTTCGTTTTCCCAGCAGGTAAACTGTATAGGGTTTACGCCGCCCATTTTACAGGTGGGTCGTCTCAGCATTACCTGGTTCCCTCTTCCCTCCTGAGCGTTACGATGCTGTCTTGTGACAGCCTGTGTTCTCCTATTGGACAGAGCATCTCTCTGCATCATCTTCAAAGAAATTCTTAGTGGCCAGGGGTCCTTAGGTTCTCTTAGAGCTTCAAAATTTCACGAAAGGAAGAAAACAGCAAAACGTCCCAAGCTTGGGCCATTCCCAATGTCCTAGGAGAGGGAAATGGAAAGAAAAACAGAACTGGGCAAGCCAGAGTGTGGACAATGAGGGAGACTGTATGAATTGTTCCATTCAGGCCCTTCATTTGACAGGTGAAAAAACCGAGGTGTGTCCCGGAAAGTAAGTGACCAGAACACGGCGGTAGGGGGGGCAGGGGGAGAGGGGTTTGGGAGAATTGGGAGATTAGGATTGACATGGGCTTCCCTGATAGCTCAGCTGGCAAAGAGTCCGCCTGCAGTGCTGGAGACCCCGGTCCAATTCCCGGGTCAGGAAGACATAGACGTGCTACTGTGGTGTCCGACTCTGTGCCCTCATGGGCTGGAACCTGCCAGGCTCCTCTGTCCATGGGATTCTCCAGGCGAGAAGACTGGAGTGGGTTGCCATGCCCTTCTCCAGGGGACCTTTCCAGCTCAGGGATCAAACCCAGATCTCCCACTTTGCAGTAGCCTTCTTTCCCAGCTGAGCCGCCGGGGAAGCCCCATCGGTACACTAGCGTGTGTGAAGCAGAGAGGTAGTGGGAAGCTGCTCTTTGGCACAGGGGCTCAGCCTGGTGTTCTGCGATGACCTGGGGGGTGGACGGGGGCTGGGCGGGAGGGCGACCCAAGAGAGAGGGGATATATACACACACACACGGCTGATTCCCTGTGTTGTTCAGTGGAAACTGGCCCAATGCTGTAAAGCAATTACACAGTACGTGACCAGCGTCAGGCCAGCTAGACCGGACCGTGGCCCTGACTCCCGGCCGTCGCGATTCTGCAGGCTGACGGTCCTGAAGGACCTAAGTCCCCGTGTTCTCTGAGCGGTGGCAGCCCCCTTTCATTGTCCCTCCTTCCTCTGCGGAGGTCTCCCCTTTATCTCAGATATGCCGCAGTTTCTGGGTCTGCTTCACGGTCAGCCTCACGCTTGCTGCGGACCTGGCCGCCTGGCCCATCGTCCCTTCCCGCCCTGGCTGTCCCTCTCCGCTCGCCACCCCCACCCCTGGGCCCCAGATGGTTCACCTGCCTCCCTAGGTCTCTCCTCTTCTCCCCCGGCCTCGCCTTCCCCCTCTCACCTT